AATTAATACCATCTGCTCCCATGTTAATAGTGAGAGCAGGTGGTGGTCTGTTGGCTTGTATTGAACATTTTCATTAATTCCATTAAACAAATTTTCCTTTTGCCTGTATCTTTACTGATCGATGCTTTCAAGGTTTTTCTTTAGTTCCTCCGGGCAAGTGCTGGCTTATCCTCACTTAGACCATGACCATATCTTTCCTCATCATTCATGTTTCATCATCATCATCATCCTGTTTGGCCATACCATAGCTTAGACAGTTCCTCACACGATGGCTGAGTTAGTATGGGATTTGTGGTATTGAGTCAGGTATAAAATTGCAACTCAGATCACATCACATCTGATGTTGAATTGTATGATGATTGCTGAATGATGAACTGAAAGGGTTGTGAACAAAGTTGTCTGTACTAGCCTGGTATTTACCTGGTAAGATTGAGGAACCCTCATGATAGCCACTCTTCAGGCTGAGATTGATCTTGGGACCTCTCAGAAAGAGGTAGTAATATTAATAATTTTACTGTAATGTGTCGTGAGTCAGGTTTTCCTTTGAATACTGTTGCTTAGCCTGCCAGTCATTGCACATATACTCCATGCTTGTCTAACATGACCCTTGTCAGGGGTTGGTACTGTAGGCTACTGTGTGAAGTGACTCAGTCTCACCCCTCACCAGTCATCATCATCATCATGCTATAAACCAGGTTAGTTCAATCAGTGTAGTGACTGGCTCTGAACTGGATGATGGGGGTTCAGTTCCCAACATGTGCAGTGACTTCTCTTCACTCATACAACCTAGGGTCTGTTTCCTTGGGGGGCAGTGTGACTGGGGTGTTGAGCTCACTCCATCTGGTGTGGAGGTTAAGAACGTGGCGCTCTTTGCCTCTTCTCTGTCATGTATGATGCTTAAGTGAGGGACAGTCTTATTTTTCTTGTCATTTGATGCTATATACGCTGTACATCTGGCAAAATGGTGTTAAATAAACCAAAAACAAAAGACCACACCTTAAATATTTAATGATGAAAATACTTAGACCTGTACATGTACAGTAAGTTTAGCTCCTTGTGTGCCATTACTGTTGCTGACTGGTTGTTTTATGTTGCAGCAAGGGAAAGATTTGCTTCATCCAGCAGCACAGATGAGCAGGATTCAGGGTCAGAAGCCGAGCATGAGGCGGGTTTGTCGGGAGGACGGCCACACAAGCCTGGGGGTCACAGCCACTCAGGGAGTCATGCTGTGAGGAAGCGTCGTGGCAACCTTCCCAAACACTCTGTGAAGATTCTGAAGCGTTGGTTGTACGAACATCGCTACAATGCCTACCCAAGTGATGCCGAGAAAATGACACTTTCTCAGGAGGCAAATCTCACAGTTCTGCAGGTAAGAAATATGGACCAAATTCTTTTTACAGCTGACACATACTCTTGTTTCTTTATCTCTGTTTTGTCCAGGTTTCCTGATCTTTCTTTGCAAGTCTTCTTGCTTCTTACACTTGTTCTACACTATTTGCCTATATGTTTCCAGTCTGCCATGTTCTTGAATTTTTGAAGGCGCCCAGTTCCACGTTTTATTTTGCTATCTCTCATTTTAGGTGGTGGTTTTAGATGCCTGTACCATAGCAACTTGTGTACTTCATTTATTCTTATTACAATGGCTAACTCCATGGTACAGGATTGTAGTTAAGAGCAGTTGACAGAAGACCCCTTGTTTTATGATGCCTTTATGTTTGTCACCATTGTCACAAACACCTGAACCAGCAAAGTTCTTTGTTGTTAGATTGACAGTCCCCCTACACAATTATTTTTATTATAGTTTCAATGTTTATTAGGAATACACTACATATTTTGACCCTAATTGGTCATCTTCAGGCAGTTCTCTTTAAGAGCCATATTAATTATATTCTTCTGAGTGGTGTATTTTATTTTTTAAAAACCAGTTTGCCTGAATTTGTTGTTACTCTCTTCACGAAACATACCCTGTTATCTGAGCCTCATTAATTTATACAGTTTTTATGATAATAGTTCAAGGGCATAAAGTGTAGCATTTCTCATAAAAATTACATATTCTGGAGTTACTGCAGTTGGAGTGTGGAAATTGATTACAGGTTTGTAATTGGTTCATCAATGCAAGGAGACGCATTCTACCAGAGATGATTAGACGGGAAGGGCACGATCCCCAGAATTACACAATTTCAAGACGGGGCAAGAAGCTTACAGGGAGCCAGCATTCAGGAAGCATGGGGAGCCCACGATCTCGTGGAACCAGTCACTGGGACACCAGCAGTTCCAAGAGAAGTAACATGGTGCATGATCACGATTATGATGACAACATGGGACTCATGTACCGCAGTGAGGAAGACAGCCCCAATGAGTATGAGAGCAGTTCTCCAAGCGAAGAAGAGGCACGACAGCCTGCAGCAGGACCGTGGCACAGTGTTATTGTCTGTCGTTACAATTGTCCAAAAGACTGTGTTGGACATCCAATCAAGAGAGAGTAAGTATCACTGTTTGGGTCATCACAACCATCATTCATCTATAAGCATATTCATCCGTGGGTTGATAGTTTTTAATTTGGGGGTACATAGTCTATTTCACATGTCATGAAGTGAGATCCCTGTCTTGAATTAACTTTCAAACCTGTTCACTTCTTTCATCTGTTCTGCTTGTAGATGGCTGTCACAACGTTCTCCGTTATCCATTGAAGTTTATCCATCTTTGAATCTTGAAAATCACCTGTTCATTTGTGTATTTGATAAATGATATCTCCAAAAGCAGTTTTTAATATTTAGTGTGTTTCAGAAGTATTTTTACTGAGCTTTAAACAAAACTTTATATAAAAACTCGTTGCTTTTTTGAATAGCTCATTTCCGGAAATGACAAAACGCATACACAGCTTTACTGAGTATCTTCACTTATGTGACTGACACAACAAATAATGCCAAAGGCATACTCTTTATCACCACGTAGCTGCAAGAAATTTTACTCTTATCAGTGGTGAAATGGTAGAACCATCAGAATGCTTTATACATGTGGCCTAAATGGAACATATATAAAATAGGTACCTCATTAAAATATACAACACTACTTGAAACATTTTTCAGTGTGGTGCAGATTTAATGAAATACAAGGGGGAAATAATTTCTGACAGCAGTGTGATGTCCTGTGACATTGGGTTTGTGTTTTCAATAAATGAAGATGACATCACAAACAGAAAAGAACACATTTTTATGGACCTGATAATTTATGTTGCAGAGAAGAAGTCCCTCCCCCACCAGAGACGATGGCAGTGCATCATGGAGTGGATAATTTTTATGGGCCTGATGATTTGCGATGCAGAGAGGAAGCCCCTCCCCCAGTACAGACCATGGCAGTGCATCCTGGAGCAGATACTTTTTATGGGCCTGATGATTTGCATTGCAGAGAGGAAGCTACTCCCTCAGCAGAAAGTGCAGCAATGCATCCTGAAACAGATTTCTGGAATGCATCACCATGCCATGGAAGTCTTGCTGCTTCATCCAGTCAGGAGGAGCGGAGCAGCAACTTTTCCCACCCCCAGGAGACGCCACCCCCTACACCACCTGAAGATGAAGACAAAGATAAATTCAAGTGCCTGTATTTGCTGGTGGAGGCTGCAGTGGCTGTACGGCAGCAGGAGATGGAGCGTGAGCTGGCACTGCGTGTATAACGCCAGCTTGCTCACCATGTAGTCGCAGCATATCATTTAATTTTGTATTGAGAGGTTTTTATGGCATTCCTTCTGTTACAAGACTGTGGATATAGATGCAGAGGATGAACTGCCAAGTAACCTATACGCTCGTGTCAGATAGGGCACTGGTACGTCGACAGTGCCAAGAGCATGAATGCAGTGGTGGACCTGTTTGCTCAATGTTACACACCAGATGTTTCACTGTAAGGAAGATTGTGCTGAGTGCAAAGATGAGTGATGAATGTGTGCTACAGTAATGCTGATTCTGATCACTGCTCAAGATCATGTACTTGTCAGGAAGGGCAGAGTTGTGGAGTGAGTTGAAGGTTCCCTGTGCCCTTCCTTTGGTTTTCTAATGAAATTAAATCATTTGTTGAACCTTACAGTGTTAAGGGCTCGATACTTGAAATTAGGTTTAATTTTTTGTATTGTACAAGTCATTCATATCTTGAGGTCATCCATGTAATTTTGCTAGACTGGATAGGCTAAACAACTTAAAATTTCACTGCCAGAAACATAATTGATATAGCCTATCAGGTCTCACATAGCCACCTCCACATCGCAGCTTGTGACTACAAATCATAACAATAATAATTTTATAAGCAGAGCAGACCTGAAGAACACAGAAATAAACTGAATTTTTAATATAAATAAATATTTTGTGATAACATACAGGAAGTCTGTTTGTACTTACATATCAGGAGGTTTGAGTGGCTTCAGTTTTACTCTGTTTATCACAGCATTTTACCTTTCATGTGTTTGCAAAAGGTGAACAAAGTTGTTAAACTACGTGCTATTGTTGCACAAAAGTCCGGAGTCTCAGGATTATTTTTACACGAAGTTACAAGGTGGCATCATAGTCTATCTAGAATTGTTATATATAATACAATTAAAATCACAAAAAAAGTCCTGAATCTGATGTACGATGCCCAGTCTCCTGAAGCATTTCAAAGTGCAATAGCTGAAATGCTTGTGATATTCTCCAAAATTGGAAGTGGATTATTATGTCTAGAAACAGGCAAAAGACAATTGTGAGTTGTGTTTGATGCTGAGATGAGGAGTTTTGTCTTGTGTTTTAATTTTTATATTCTTAGACCACTGGTACTCCAAACAAGTGTCGAGACACACTATTGTGGGAGACCAGTCACTGTAGTGATTATGTAACAGTGCAGTAAGGAGACATAGCAGAACAGGAGACGTAGAACATTAAAAGCATGTTGTGAATTTTAATCATGCTTTGTTTATTTGTTGTTCCTTTCCACTTACTTTGAATCTCTTGTTGCACAGAGTGCAAGGACTAGAGTGTCAACATCTTTTCTTCCTATTCCACTGGCCTCATATCACTGTAAAGGTAAAATGGACATTCTTCATATTCTGCATTGAAACCATCAGGAGCCATGGAGCTGTCCACCACTAAAGAAACTAGTTCAATGTCATGGTGTAAGCTACTCGTGGCTGCCATCCTCCATTAAGCTTAGCTTTTCTGTCTAATGTGGCCTGCCTGACTTTGTCCTTTATTTTTTATCTTTAAATGTGAATATTTTTGGTTCTTTTCAACATTTATGGAGCAGTAACAATAATTTGCACTCTAGCATAAAATGTAACTTATACTGTTTTTATACCTGTCTTTACTTGATTGCTTCCAGACCCACATTTTGCTTCCATTAAATTAGAACTGCCAAAGCCATCTTTTCATTCATACAAATTTGCTTTGTGGCGATGTTGTGTACCTTGTAGAACTCAAGATACATGAAATAACACTTCGTTCATGGGTCATTTCACTATTGGTTCAGTTCTGTGAGAGAAATTTCATTCGTATTGTTTTAGTTATTAATGCTGTCAGTATATTGGACTAAACTGCATCATTTGTTCATGGTAGTCCTAATAACTGCAGATAAATTTTCTTTGTTCCTTCAGTAGAGAGTTGAGACATTAAATGTGGGAGTGTAGTTTTCATTTCCAGTGAATCTCAGCCCCATTACAGACACTAAGCTTCTGATATCAGCACTCTACTTGATAATGTTTATGTTTGAGACTGCTCGATATGCCATTTTAAGGCAAAGGATAAGCCTATGTGTGTCTGATCATCAGAAACAAGCTTGTTCATGAATCAATAAGTATAAAAATATATTACAAAAACAGAATGAGCACAAAAGAACTTTACACTTTCAGAAAAATACAGAAAACAAATGTGGCATACTTAAGCATTTCATACCAACTCCAGTTATTGGAAAAACCCAGTTTTGTTTCAAATGAACCAGGTGATTGTTGTTGTGCACCTCCACTGGATGCTACTAGTTTTGAAAATGGCTTCCCCACAACAGAGGAGTTGGTGTGTTCTGCAGGTAGCGAAGATTCTGTAACAGCTATGCAACATGTATTTCACACACACGTTTCACATGGAACCACCTAGCTGAGTATCTGTTGTTTATGCAGCAATCTTTGCCAAAGTTGAGGGCACAAATCAAACTGCCAGAGCTTTTGTCACTGGGAACACTGCACAATGTTTGGGATAAGTTGGATTATCGTCTTTATGTCTGCCATGTGACTTGCAGAGTGCATATTGAGTTCATGTGAGGTGTATGCAAAACTTTGAGGGTTTTTCTATTGACTTGTGTAGGTGTGAAGTTGTAGGTATGCTGCATTTGTTGTCTGTTATTTTGGAAATGCAAATTCTTTTGTCCTCACTTCATTCACTGAAGACTTCTAGAATGTATTTCTGGAGGCATGCTCACAGGAAAAAAATGTGTATTTTTAGTTTTCTGATGGGTCTGATACTCCATTGATTTTATTCTCAGTCCAGAAAAATGGATGCCTCGTCAAGCTATCCATGTTCCATCCACTAACATTACACATTTACTTTGCTAGTTGGCAGTCATGACATAAGTTAATCCATTACAATGGATGTGTTCATATATTTTCTGAAATAATAACCAAAAAAGGCAGGATAGAGTACTATAAAAGTAGATCACAGAAGAAATATAACTTTTTATTGACAAACAGAAAGACCTCAGAATTTCTATGTAACAAATTGTGTCCCAGGAAGTTGGTCACTTGGGAAAATTTCAGTGCAACTTACAATATGGAAGTTCCACTGAACTGTTCAGCAACCACATAAAATGTAACTTGTTGACAGCAAGAATAGTGTATTGCCTCCTTGCTATGGAAACCACCAAAGTACTTGACTTTCAAATTATCTATCAGAAAATACAAATTCTGCTGTATGCTTAAATGAAAGAAAATCTGCTCTGGTGACAGTGGAACTGTATTTGACTTTAAGCTATGAATCAAAAGAAAACGTATGAGAGGCACAAAGTCTCCACTGTGTTCTGCTGTTATCTGCAACTTTTCTGTCCTCAAGCACTGTTTTTGCTGTGGTTCAGTTCCATATTATGACCTGCAATTCTGGGCTGCATCAGGAGCTGCCTGGGTATGATGGTGTCTCTGACTGGTGGCCATGGAGATGTTTGCATGGTTCTTTTCGGAGGAGAACATACGAGAGGTGTTCGACTCTGCTGTACCTCTGCTGACTGTACCACACGATCCAGTTCTTGTGTAGATATTAGTGTTTCATCATCCATCAAGTCATTTTCCTTTTCTTCGTTGTTTCTGATCCCTGCAGTTGCACAGCAATATGGTTTTAGGGGCTTCAGTTAGTGAAAGAACAAAAACACTACAAGAAAACATAATATCTGAGGTTCTCACAGCAGTGAAAATGTGATTATTGTCTTCTGGGTTTTGATGACTTGTAGTCTTGTGTGGGCGGTTATGAATATTTCAGAAGAATTTGTACCCATAAGATGTAAGTGACATGTTCTCCCAGTTATCTTTTTAATAAAACTGGGCGCTACTATTTTTTTAAATGAATGATACAGTGAAATATTTTAATGAGTTGCAGTAAGCACTGATTTATTAAAATAAACTTTTTCCAAAATAAAGAGAAACTGATAAAATGTTGTGACTAATCTTTCATATCTTGATCTACAGCACTATTGTCACTCTAAAAAATGTCTTACAAGACAAACACCTGATCATATTAACTCAAAAACTACACTGTCATGCATGCATGCATGCATTTTCATAGCACTTTTCCAATCTAACCTTTGTTCTGGGAAGTTCTCATGTATACCTGTGTTTTTGTCCATCAGTAACTTTGTCTGAAGATCTGAAGAAACTGTCAAGTTTGTCGATTGCTTCCGTTTTAATTGGTGAAGAAACTCTTCTTGCTTCTGTCGCTGTCTTCGTTTCCTCTCTAATTTAAGATTATCATTGGCTGTCTGCAGGCAAGTAGTCAGTGCTGATGTGTCTGTTAAATGCCTGTTTGAAATGGGAACTAAATGAAACAAAGATATACTGAATTAGACTGGTCAAGGATATTCATTATATGTAATTTAGAGAAGAAAAGTATATTCTACCTTCTTCAAGCAAACTGTGCTCTTCCATTTCAGGAGACATCTCAAAAGCACTGAGCTGAACTGACACATCTGTATGTCTGCAACTTCCATTCACCTTCCTTGTCAAATGACAACCAAAACTGCGCAATGCTTCCCGCAAACCATTTGTTACAGCTTCCTAAGACAGAAAAAGAAAGAAGAGGGAAATCTTACAAACTCCAAATGCTTGTACTAAAATTGTCAATGATATCTGCACTTGATATTAAAAGTTCCATCATCGCAAAATTCTTTGGAGCAGCAGCAACTACTACTGTTCTAACAATTCAGACACCTTTCGAGCATGTGCTATGGCATTTCCTTTACTGCAGGATCCACTATATATCCCATAACCTACATCCTGATGATGTATTCCATTCTTGAGCTCAACTTTCACTAAAGCCATAACACCAACTGAATATTCACTGCCTTCATGGTCGATGTAATCTGCAACAGTGGAACAGTATCGGTCATAGATCTGTGTTCCAGTTGTTTTAAAATGGGAAAGGATTATGTGATGAAAGCTGGGAAGCAGCAGTATACACTTACCAATATTCTGAAAAGTCACAGTGTGGCTCCATGTGTGAGGCCCAAACATTTCATTTGCAAGTGAGATGAGAACTTCATGCTCTGGGTTGTATTCCAAATGATGATGGTTTTGGATACATGTTTGCTCTCTTTTAGGTGCAGAGACTTCTGTAATACTCTTGCCATTATTCATCTACAAAAAAGTGATATGGCAATGTGCAAGATTCGCTTGATTGTCTATTAGGTGCGACTGTTCTATATTCTTGGCTTAGGCCTATGAAGGGTCTATGGAATGTAAATAAATTATATTCTACTGAGCATGATGGCCGGACTTGTACTTTGTTGGAAAGGCATATTGCCACCATGTGAGTAGGATTTGAGGTTCTAAAGTGGTGAGTGTGGAGATGGCTGTCTTTTGGGTTATTGCGCTGTGTAGTCTGGTAGAAGTTTACCAACGTTTCAGAGGTCCTTGCTGCCTTCATCATCAGGGCGATAAGTCACTCATCGCTCTGACCGGACTACACGGTGCAACAACCCAGGAGACAGCCATCTTCATGAAAACACCGTGTTGATAATGTAATTTGTAGGTTAGAACACGTATTTCTTTCATACTACTTCAACACAAGATTCCTACTTTAAAAAGAACTTTATAAATTAATAATAAGGTTAAGAATTACAATGTAGATGACTTTCTTAGAGTCTTATAAATTTAAATCCTACCTTTCGTTTTTCCGTCTTGCTAGTTACGTAAACTCAAAACGTTGTACATTTATAATTCCCTCCAATTATTTTTTTTTTATTTTAACAAAGAAAACTGCTTTTGTTAGCAAATATGAATGAAAGAAAGTCGCATATGACCCTATGGTTACATTTTCATGGAATTAAAAGATGAAGCATATTTATATATATTTTTAATAACTATAGTGACAAAACTTCCTAACATTATTTGTTAAATCTGAAGTTTCTTTCTGTTATGTTTAGCAATCCTTGGTTGTAATTTTCATTTTTACCGCCAGAGGGCAAGAGCGAAATATGGCGGCGGTGAAGTCAAAATCCGGGATTTATTGCTGTTCAAAATTAGAGGATAATGCTCAGGGAATGAATGGGTCTAAAATGTGCTTCAGTATTTTTGATACATGCCTTGTCTTGTTTTCTATGGTTACGTTTATTATGGACTTAAGTACAGGTGAGAAACGATTCAAGGAATTATTTGCAATATGTGGCTTATAATACATCTTGACCTACGCCTACTCCGCAGTAGGCTTTGAACACCGGCTTACCAGTTGATGGAGTTCGGACTCACTAATTATGAAATTAACATACACAATTATTTGAATACCTGATTTATAAAACTGGGCAGCTTGTGTTGATTACAGATATGTAGCATCAAATAATGCTATTTGCTGAGTGTGTTAGCTGTTTAACCCAGAAATGTGTAACTAACTAACTAACTAGATGGCTTACCGAACCCGAAGGTTCATCACCGAATTAACCAAAGCCCTCCACCGGACCCTGTCCTGGGCCAACAAAATCCAGTCTCCTTCAACTCCTATCTCCCATAGATCCTGCCTGACATTATCCTCCCATCTATGTCTAGGTCTCCCCAGCAGTCTCTACCCCTCAGGCTTCCCAACCAATACCTGGCGCACACCTGTTGCCCCATCTTATTCTTCTCGACTTAATCACCCTGACAATACTGGGGGAGGGGTATAAATTTCTAAGTTTGTCATTATGTAGTTTTCTCCAGACCCCATCGTCTTCCCTCTGAGGCCCAAATATCCTCCTCAACACCCGATTCTCAAACACCTGCAATCCGCGTTCCTCCCTCTGAGTGAGAGACCGTGTTTCACACCCATACAAAACAACAGGCAAGATTATTGTTCTGTATACTTTAATTTTCAGGAACACAGAAATGCATGGTGTTTAAAACTAAATTCAGTTCAGAATGGAGCTAGTTTCAAAACTTTTAATTTGGATGCTTATTTATATCCAGTCTCTGTAATAGTATCCTAGAAAATACCTTGTATTAAATATATAACAGTCAAATCTATAATTGAAGTTTGTAGAGGCCATACCTTGCATTATGCTGTGTGTGTTTTGAACATTTAAAACATGTTTTCATGGTTTTTTGGTCTTATTAGAGTCACTAAACTCTGTTTTCAGATGTGTTTCTTGTAGTGGAGTACTTCAGTCATGGCCACACGTGCTGGGCGGTGAGCACATTTCTGTTGGTTGTGCTCCCAGCAACTGTTGTGCAGATGTTCAGTATGCGCTGGCACATCATGGACAAGACTGCAAGTCGCTGCCACTGGCTGTCTCACTTATTCTTTCTGGGCATTATACATAGGTAAATATCATATTGAATGTGCCATGGAATATATTCAGAATGGTTTTATCGTAAGAGTAGGATAGCTTCGAATGTTTTGAAGGAACTGCAGACATCTGGCAACAGATTTTAACCCAACTGTATGCATTGGAGATTGATGTAACTGCAGTACACTATAAGTAATTTCATAAAATTGTTTGTAGAATCTTTGAATTAGAGTTTCAGAAGCTTGAACATTTGCTAGCATCAGGGCTGTTAAGTGTGGAGTGCAGGCAGTTGATGCAGCAAACCTCTCATTACAGTACAGGAACGATTAAAATCGACCACAAGGATGTACATAGAATGAGGAGAGCCTGTGTAATTATTTTATAGATTGGATGTTTCAGAGGAACCTATTACCATTTATACTCTGAAAATGGAGATGATACATTCCTCTGAAACATTGGTGCCAACTACAAGACTACATGTGGCATCAGAATCAAGATCACAATGTAAATTTTTAGATAATATTTAAATGCTAAATAAAGTGGAGAGCACAGAACCTAGCCTGTGGGTCTGTATTTTCTGGGATGTTACAATAGGTATATCCTGGTTCTGAAGACAGGCCTGGAGGCTCGATCATCTGGTGATCCTACAGATTTCCAGCGTGTGTATCACCAACAGAGCGACATCTGCTTGCTGCACTTGTTTGAATCATTTATGGAGTCAGCCCCACAGCTGGTCCTCCAACTGTACATCATGGTATCCCTGGAGACATGGACGTCCTGGACTGGTGAGTGGTTTTTATCTTCCATTTATCATAGTAAGGCTTCCATGAACACTTTGGACCCTATAACCTAAATTATTTTTAGTGAAATATTATTCATTCTCTAGCCTGTAAAGTCTCATATGCATATCATATACAGGTAGCCCTCGATTTACGCCCGGGATGCGTTCCTGGATGAACCAGCGTAAATTGAAACTCTTTTTATAATGTAAATCAATGGGAAGTCAATGACATGCGTTCCCAGCACCCAAACTTGACGAGTAATATAATACCATTACATTTAAAGCTCTGAAATAACGTAAATAAAATAAAGGGAATTAAAAAAATATATTTTATACACATACAATTGGCAATTCGTTGGTCCCTGCGATTGACTGCGATTCTTTCACCTAATTGATGTGTACAGTCATCTCTGCTGTTATGTGATAGTTGCATTCACGTAAGACGCCAACCTATAGAAATTCACGTAGTAAAAATAACCTCGGGACCTCCGCAGAGATTAAATTAGTCCTCTGAAAGTTTAAAGCGCCAGGAATGAAATTGCATAAGAGCAAACACCCATATGCAAAAGTTTGCGTTTCACAAACAGAATTTACCGATTCATCGATCTCATTGGAGCAAATTCGAGTTAACGAAACATACATAATTGCAGATATGACTGTATTTATAATTTTTATTCAAAATCAGCGATGTAAGAATTATGATTTAGAATAAGAATCAGTATGAGATACATTGTAAAACGTTATAAATAATAGTAAAATATGTTGGGTTTTTTTTCACTTTTTGACTTGCTGGTTTCAAAATCGGTGCAAATTGAACTGGCGCAAATCGAGGGTTACCTGTATAAAACTGTTTCTAGTATCAGAGATACCTCAGGTTATTTAATTATACTCTATCAATTAGTGGAATTATGTTGGTAAAATTGTTACTGTGCTTAAGCATAAAGCCTTGAAGACCAATGGGAGAATGATATGAGTGATCAGCTTCATGCTCCAGCTG